ACATTCTCAAAGAAAAATATGGACCATGTTGCAGCAGCAAATCTGAATAATAGATATGGCTCGGAGCTTGATAAAAATTCAAATGCTTGTTTGGAGCATAACGCAGCTACCGTTGCTTCTGTGGATCACAAGGTATATATCTAGCTTACCAAGTCTCTATCTGGAGTTGTCTTTTGGGTGAATGATACTATAGAATCTTTAAAAATAAAAGCTATTGATCAGATCATTTGGGTGCATTTCTGCCCTTAAGTCAAGAAAAATGAAAACAACAAGAAACTAATGGCTGTTCTCCTAATCCAGTATTTCTTTTATATATATGTTCTATCTTATTACACACATGCACCACTCAGACTCTTAGATATTCAACCTTTTTTTTGTATAAGAAAAAAATAGTGTTAGAAAGACTCATATATTTATATATGCATATATGTACTTATATTCCTGTATGAACACATTATTATGTTTGTTTCTTCAATTACATTGACATTCAGTATGCTCCCTATGATACTCTACTTCCACATTAGAAAAACATATAATTATAAATCTGAAAGCTCAAATCATTATTACCAAAAAACTTGAATTTGAGCTTCTGAGAACTAATGATTTTGATTGAAAAATTATTGAGCAAATCATGACATAGCTATAGCATTATAAGTGGGCTAACAGTACATACAACTCGGTGACTCTAAGCTCATACATGACTGGATCTTGATACGAGTGGTTGGGATTATGATGCCTAATTTCCGTGTCAAAAATATGTATAGTTATTGAGTTCTATGTAGGGGCTTAAATAACTCAAATTTGAGCTTGATCTTTTAAGTGCAATCTTAGATTCAAAAAATTGTTAGATTATTAGTGCTTGGATCCGGAGGCATTACATTTCTCTTACATGGTCTTTAACATTTCTGACGTATGTTTGATGTGGGGGTTTGTGAAACCTTGACATCTCAAGCAAAGGCTGTGAAAGATAATTTATAAAATGAAGTTATCTGTTGTACAATTCTTGCGCAGGGATGTAATGAGAGAAGTGCTCATGAGTTGGAAACTATTTTCTCTCCTGCTTTTCACATATCAAAAATTTCTGGAGGGGATATTGCTAGTGGAGGTAGGTGATAAAAATATATTGTTCTTATTTTGTTAAGGTGTATAGTCCTTGGGTTTCTTTCTTTTCTTTCCATATAATTGTGTCTCTACTTATTTAGTTGACTTCATCAAATTCTTTTGGAGTGAAGACCAGAAGCTTCATCAGGGTAGTGGAATGGAATATTCACAAGTTGACATGCCGAAAAGCCATTATGCTCAAGAATCCTCCTTTGTAGACGAGAAGAATTGCTCTTCAACTTCCTTCATTGCATCAGGTGATTGTGACATGGGAGATGCAAATGTATCTTCCGGAAACTTAGGGGCACTGAGCTTTGGTCATGAGTCGGTTGTTCTAGATACAAACATGGATTCTTATCGTGGTTCGGAGTCAGGGCCTGCCCTTTCATCTGAAGTTTCTGCCATCTATCTGGCAATGAAGAACTCAAAGTTAGAATGTATTGATGAGCATGGTCAAGATTCTATGTCGGCTGATGTTTGTGTTGAGGATGAAGATTCTGAAGAATTTGATGACTTTGATCCATATTTATTTATAAAAAATTTACCTGACTTGTCCGCAGTTGTCCCCACTTTTCGGCCTGTGCTATTACCGAAACAAACCCGGAGCTGTCCTCCTACTACTCTTGTTCTTGACTTGGATGGTAAGAATATCAAGATATTTAGTTCTGTTGTGATTTTTATGAGCATAATTGAGACTTCATAAATGTCTATCAAATATTGCTTGCTGTTCTTTGGTTGCTTAATGCAACTTTATAATGATATTTATCGAAGGGCGAGAAACAATTGGTTTTCTTGTTATCAGCTGGTCCTGGATCCATGGCCAAACCTGTGTTTTATGAGATTCTGATATATAGATGTTTCTG